CCCCGCCCCGTCCCACGAAGGTTCATTAGAATATCCAGCACTGTGGATGCTAGGGCACCAATTCTTCCATGCCAGCACTGTACCAGTGTTAAGCTCACTGCAACATGTACTTGTTTTCTTCATTTTCGTACATTTTAAAATTATTTTTCCTTTTCTCTGTTACCTCCTTTATGTCATTCATTTGCCCATTAATTCACCTTTGCTTTACTTACTCAGTTAATCTTGAAGAAAAAGTGAGGTTTCAGTACAATTAAATTTTTTGGCTAGGGATTACAGTAATGCCTGAATCTTTAATTTGGTCTTCTCTGTTTTTCTCTTATGGGAAAAAAACAAATGAGAAACAAGGTTATTATTGGTTGAGCTAGTGCCTGGTTTTCCCTAATGAAGAGCTCTAGTAAGGCTGAGTAGTGTCATATGCCCTAACCTCCTTGAGGGCCTCTGTCATTCTCTAAGACATATATGAGACCTTCTGGTGAGCTTTATGGCATAAGCAAATGATGAGCACACTGAAATGAGAAGAGGATGGCCAAATCATGCACCTTACTTGTAAAGATGGCCCAGCTAAGGTCTAACTATCAGACAATAGGATTTTGAATTTCTTAAACCTGAGGTGGGAACGCAAAAAAAAAATGGGAGATTTCCCTGGAGTAGGCAGCCCTGCTCTTCTGTCCTTGATGTCTTTCCTGCTCAGACATTTGGCTTCTATGCTGGACACTGGGGATAACAGAAGTGCTTCAGGCATGGTTCCTGTTCTCAAGGAATTCAGTCTATTGGGGGGAAAGAAAAGCACACATACAATCTCAATATTGAGAAAACTACTATAAATGTGTTCGCGTGCATGTGCACAGGCACATACCAAGGGAGGAGCCAAAGATAACTTTATTTATTTATTTAGAGATTAGGGTCTCACTGTCACCCAGGCTGGAATCAATGGCATGTGGCATGGCTTACTGCAGTCTCGACTTCCTGGGCTGAGGTGATCCTTCTATCTCAGCCTCCCAAGTAGCTTGACTACAGGCACATGTTGCAAAGCCTGGCTTGTTTTTGTTGTTGTTATTGTTGAGACGAGGTCTCACTATGTTGCCTAGTTTGGTCTCAAACTCCTGGGCTCAAACAATCTTCCCTCCTTGGCCTCCCAAAGTACTGGAATTACAGGCGAGAGCCACCATGCCCAGTTGATAACTTTATTTAGAGGGTGAAGTGTGATTAAGAGTTGGATAGGTAAAGAACTGAGGTGGTGAAAGCAATGGTATTGGAGGAAGAAGAGTCAGAGGGCTTGGTGAGTTTGGAGATTGCATAAGGTTTGTTTTAGATGTAGAAGAGGATATGAATGAAACAGTGTTGGGGAAAGAAGCTAGAGAGGGAGATTGGTGGTTTTAAAAATTTGACCTCTGCCATGTTGAGAATTAAGAGTCTCTAAAGATTTTAATCGGATGATGTGATCTTACTATGTTTGGATTATTTGATAGTGTGGAGGATGTATCAGAAAGAACACAACTTACGCAGGGAGACTTTTTTGCCTTTAAAGAGAAAGCACCATCTCCTTCAAAAGGATAACTTCTGTCCTGACTTTGAGCTCATACAAATCTGGGTTCTAGTACTGCACCTGCCATTTCTTGGCTGTGTGATCTTGAATCAATTACTTTACTTTTCTGAACTTTCTTCTGCAAAAAGAGGTCAATACTTAACTTATATGGCTCTTAAGAGAAATAAATCAAATTAAAGTAGCTTGTTAAGTCCCTAGTGTTTTACTGGCATAAAATAGCCACTCGAAAAGAAATATTTATTCCCTAACCCTGATTCCCCCTTCCTCTCCTAATAGGGGTAGATAGATGACTAAATGAGCTGACGAGTGATGAATGAATGAATTGCTCAGTGAATGAATTACTGGACAGACATTTGGTAGCTGGAGAGGTGGATGAATTCAACAGATGATTGTTGAGTGCCAGCTACATTCAAGACACTGTACTAGGTACTGGCAATACAAAGATGTTCCTTTTCCTCAAAGAAGAAGCAGTGTGGCATCAGATACAAACATACAAGCACATGATTACAGTTCAATGTAAGAGATGCTATAAATATAGGCATGTACAGGATTTGGTAGGGGTAATAGGAAGAGAATAGTCACTCCAGCCTGGGGAGGGTAAAGCATGACAGTGCAGCTGTACTGGCCTTTGCCAAGTGTATACAGAAATTGCTGAGGTAAGAAGGATAAATGGAGCTAAGTTAGACTTTTTTCTTTTCCCAGAGAGAGCAGTTATTTTGCCCATGCCTGGCAGTTTCGTTTGTCTTTTCTCTGATATTGCTGTACGTGTGGATAGAAACCGCCAACGAATACTTTAACTTTGATTGGTGAGTTTCACTTTTTGTACTTTCATTTGTGTAAGGGCTTTTTTATCTGATAGCCACCTGGATTCTGTGTCAGGTTTAAAAGTTCTGGTGGCATAGTAGGGAGGGTGGAAAAAACTGGGCTTTCCACAGCTTATGGGTAAGAGATCTCCCTCTGGGGCAGGGGCAAGCTGCTTAACACCCTGTCTTATTATACTTCCCTTTCTCTGTGCTGTCTCACACTCCGACCAAATCTGGTTCAGTGGGATGCTTTCTCTGTGTTTCCAGTGACCCCAGTTCTTTTATTCAATGACTCCTTGGTGTCTTTTCCTCAGTCTCTTTACTGAGTTACTGATGCCTGCACTGGTTGGTCTTCATGATCTCTGCCCAAATTCTGCCTTCTCTGCTTCTCCTACACCCTCTGACTCCTGCTACTGTTCTTAGGGGGCTTCCTATAACCCTGAACAGAACAATAGGTTTTCCTTCTCAGCACCCTATTATGGTTAAACTCCAACTCCTGGCCTGCTTCCAGTCCTTCTAGTTTTCCTGGCCTGATATCTTCTAACCTTCCTGTAGATCTTACCTGTTGTTTGGTATTTGAGGGAGAAGGATATGTTTGGGTATGAGGCTTTTAAAAAGATGGAATACAATTATTTTTTTTCCTATATAAAAGTAAAATATGGTTTGGTATTTTATGTGTAAAAAATGCAGAAAGAGAGCCGGGCTCAGTGGCTCAGCCTGTAATCCCACGCCTTTGGGAGGCTGAGGTGAGTGGTTTGCCTGAGCCCGCGGGTTCGAGACCTGCCTGGGCAGCGAGACCTCATCTCTACAATAAATAAAAAAATCAGCCGGGTGTGGTAGCACATGCTGTAATTCCGGCTACTTGGAAGGCTGAGGTGGAAGGATCACCGGAGCCCAGCAGATCGAGGCTGCGGTGGCTGGGAGCGGCCACTGCACTCCAGTCTGGGCGACAGAGTGAGACTCCAACTCAAAAAAAAAAAAAAAAAACTGCAGAAAGAAAATACAGTATCTGCTTAGTCTCATTCTTGAGTGACATTCACTTGGTATATATTTCCTAGCCCTTTCTTTATATGCTTGTTTTTATATTAGTATGCTCATAGTTTACATATAATTTTGCTTTCTCTTTTCATTTAAAATAATTATAAACCTTTTAACCAAATTTGAAAACTCTTAATGAGCATCATTTGAAATGGTTTTAAAATATTTCATAACATGAAGATGCTATAATACACTTAGCCATTTTTTATTGTTAGGTATTATGCACGTTTCCAATTTTGTTGTTTTTATAAAATAATAGCATAGAGAAATCTTCATATTCTGAATAATGTTTTTAGAATAGATTCCCAAAGTAGCATTATTGAGTGAAGAATAATAAATACAATTAAAATTCATTATGCCTATTGCCAAAGTACTTTCTCAAAAGTTATAGCAATTTTTATTTACAACAGAGACATTTGACAGTCAACATTAAATATTCTAATTTTACATAATTTTTATATTCTTGATGGAATTATTTTTTGTTTTGTTTTAATTTGAATAATTTAGTTTCAAAACTGGAAGTTTCAAAACTAAAACTAAATTTATTTAACTATTTTCTTTTTTTAAAAATTGTCTTTCTTTTCCTACTTACCCTTTGGGGGCTTTTCCATAAGTTTTCTCTCAGTTCATATGCAGTCTTTATTCTTGGGCCAGTTCCCCCTTAGGTGTCCCATGAAGGTGACTTTGTTAGGAGGAGGAGAGGCCTGGGACATTTAGGCCATCAAGCCAGTACTTAAGGCAAGAGAGCAGACTTATTGAGCCTTCCTCCAGGGATGCAGCCCAACTAGTCTTCAGGAGACTCTGTTGCTGGCAACTGTGTTTGCCATGTTATGGAATAAAGTGAGGTCAGGTGCTGGGCCTAGTCATGGAGCTATCTGGGGTGGCAGTCATTGACCTAGGTCTGTTTTAAAAAGTAAATAAAGAAGGACATATCTGGATTCATTTCTGAACATATACACTGAAATCTAAAATTTATTTATGGAGATTTGAATCTAATGAGGAAATATATTCTTGTTAAACAAGAACTTCCCAGGGAACCATGTAAGCTCAGTACTGTATGAACACACCTATAAAGAACAAAAATTAGAGCTTGTAATGAAAAACTGAGGACAGCTTGAATGTAAAACAGAAACAACTGAACTGAAATGTTCAATTCTGAACCTACACATTAGTTGGAATCTAGTTAGGTGAAACTGCATTGATTAAAAACCATTAGTCTTTTGGTAAAAACTGACATGTCAGAAGCAATTATAACAAATATGTCAGGCATTTTTTTGAAATGTGCTATCTTTCATCCTTCTTGAGTTAGTTACTAGTTACTAGTTACATGGAGGAGTTCAGGACTCCTGAATTATGTGTGATGGTGGCTATGGGCTTGCTGCTTGGCCTGTGTTGCTCCAAGGAAGTACCCAGACAACTTAGGCAATGAGTGGGCTGTGGGGACTATCCAAGTTCCCTGTCTGTTTTGAGCTTTCAAGGAGGTGGCAGGGAGAAAAATGCTCAAGCTTCCCAGTTGTGCACACGATTGGCTACCTTAGTGGAGATTGGGAAGGAGTCCCTGGCTGCTAGGTTAATGCTGCCATGTTGTATAGAAGCTACAGGAAAAGAGTTTACCTGGGAAGCGAAAGGTTATTAGAGCAACAAGTCGCATCAGCTGTTCTGCCTTAATCTCAACCAGTCTGCATTTAGAGTGTAAAAGTATAGCTGGTCCCAGATGTTCTTACAGGAGCCCACCTTAGCCAGGAAATGTCTGCTGCAGCAGAATTTTCCTTTGGGGCAAATGACAGCATCAGGTAGTCCCAGTCCCTCCTAGGCCAGCTAGATGGCAGGCATTAGTAAGAATTGAGTTCCTGAGAAGTGGTGGCTAGATCCTCTCAGAGCTTTTTTTCCTGGACTGCTCCACATGTGTTTTGGCAAAGCACAGCTGTGGTGGATAAGGCAGTTTCCTGTGAGAGAGCGAAGTTCTGGGAGGCACAGTGTTCCTTCAAAGTCCATGGCAGGAGGACAGAACTCTTGAATTCCCCTCACTCACCTGCCCTACTGCATCTGGAGGCTGCCCATGGTTTGTGCAGTGATTTAGGTAAGTCTGGCTAGTTCCAGCACAGATTGTTCAATTTTTCTCTTCTTTGCACTGTGTGGATCTTTTTGCTTCTCTTGTGAGTTATAGGATATGATGCTTATCTTGTTCCTTTCTGAATTCTGAGGAACTCTATTTTGGTTTAGTCTGTGAGAGAAGCACACTCTAGCTGCTGCTTATCAGCCATCTTAATCCTGTCTCCTCCCAGTTTTAATTTTTGTGAAAATGGTTTTATTTCATCTTTATCCTTGGAGGATATTTTAGCTGGGTATAGAATTCTAATTTGTTATTTTTCCAGCAATTTGTATTTCTTATTCTATTATCTTCTTACTTCAGTTGTTCCTCTTAAGATGTCTGTAGTGAGTCTACTTTTTTTGGAAGAGAATCTGTCTTTTTTTAATCTGCCTGCTTTGGAGAGTTTTCTCTTTTTATTTGGTGCTCAATAGTTTTACTGTGATGTATATAGGTATTTTTTTAAATTCTGTTTATAATTCTTAGAGCTTCTTAAACCTGCAGTTTGGTGTCCATAGTGGCTTTCTGTTATCAAATTAGCTAAACTGGAACTTCATTTATCTTCCCTCTTTGGTTTCAGTTTCTAGAGAAATTGGCACAAGAGAAATTGGCACAAGAAGTGAAGCAGCAGCCTTTTTTTATGCTCTGATAGTTGGTGAAGGGTAATAAGCATTGTGACAGCATGCATACATTATTTCTGATCTTTAACCTCCCCTTGTTGGTGAGGGAAGCACCTGGATCTGCACCTCCTTCACCTTTCACCACATCCTTTCTTTTAGCCTCTTTGAACCTTGAACCAGGTTTTTGTCCACCTTCATGGCGAAGAGTGCTAATTCTTCTGCAGGCTACCCATGACATTGAGGCCAGAGATGGGAAGAATCAGCCACAGGATTAAATTTGTCCTGTGGTTTCCAATTCATCCTTGAAGGTTCTAGTTAGTCCTTGTTCTCCCTACTTTATTCAACTTTTCTTCCTGACTTCCAGACTGACTAACATATAGTGACTTAAGGCACAATACCAGAAAAAAAACAACAACTTCTTGCATAGATTTCTCTATAAGTTCCCATTATTGTGTGAAGTTTAATTCCTATAGTAAATCCCTTATTCTTTATCACTCCTAGTGATTCTGCTTCTGTGACCAAACTCTTATGGATACATAAATTGGCATTAGCCATGGTTCTAGAGAAACAGAGCCTTAAGGATAGGTCCTCTAAGTTGGTTCTGGGTGATCTAGAAGTTTCTGATTTGATTAAATTTAAATATTAATAGCCATGTTTCCAATGGTAAAGGAGACAGTGATTGTCCATGGCAAGCGGTGGTAAGATAATTACTTAAATTATTACCTATGCACACCTGTAATCAAGTAGCTATGGAAACTAAAGCTCTGACTGACCAAGTAGTTGCTTCTATAGAACATTTTAGTAAAAATAAGGAGCACAACATGCTTATGGTAGCTATTTTCAGTAGTAAAGATTTAACATCAAGAACTGCTTCCATAAAAACAGGTTCTTTGAATTCACTGGAAATGATGTGACTCCTGGTTTGGGGAGCCAAGATGTGGCATTTAATTGCCAAAGACAAGATGAGTGTGGTTACTATAATGGGCAGCAGAACTGACACAGAAACAAGAATGGTCTAACCTGAGTAGGTATTTGAAAAAAGTCACCTCAACTGCCATGTTGTCTCTGAGTTCCCTTCCTTATTTGGTTCTTGACTTCATAGAACCAAATAAGGCTAGTTGACTAAAGTACCCCTAAAACTGAAATACTTGGGCAACCTACTAAAATATTACTTAGACTTTATCTGTAGAAAAGCTCTAGTTCTCTTGAACCACAATAGAGAGTAGGGCACCTCAACAAATTTCTAAAGACCAGTTCACTAACTCCTTGTAAAAAGACCCTGCTATACAGCCAAAAGGTTTATACTGTCAGTCTTCTTCCTAGTTTTCCCCCAAGGAACCTCTGGCCACTTACCAGGGTGGCTGTGCATTAGGGAAGAAGAAATACTTTTGGAGAAATTGTGGACACTGGTTCTGAACTGACGTGAATTCCTAGATGTACAAAACTCTACTGTGATTCACAAGTGAGGGTAGGGGCTTTTGGATGTCAGGTGGTCAGTTGAGTTTTGGATTAGGCCCATTTCCACAGTGAGCCTAGTGGGTTTCCAAACCCATTCTGTCATTATTTCTGTAGTTCTTTAATATATAGTTGGAATAAATGTACATACTCAGCAGCAGGCAGAATCCCCACAACACCACTCCATCATCCATATGTCTATTTTTGTACATATAAGATTGGGCTCCAGCAGATCCTAAAGTCACAAATAAGTTGCATGGGTAGTTTTCCATTGCTGCTATAGCAAATTACCACGAATTTATCAGCTTAAAGCAACACCCATGTGTCACCTTACAGTTCTGCAAGTTAGAAGTCTGGCATACTTAACTGGGTACTTTGCTTAGGATCCTCTAAGGCTGCAATCAAGGGGGCAACTGACCTAAGCTTTTCCTGGAGTATCTGAATAAAAATCCACTTCCAGGTTCATTCAAATTATTAGCAGAATTCAGTTCCTTAGGGTTGTGGGACTGAAGTTGCTGTTTCCTTGGTGGTTGTTAACTGGAAGTGGTTGCCATTGGAGGTTTTCAGCTTCTAGAGACCATTGCATTTCTTAGTTTGAGACCTTTATCTTCAAAGCTAGCTATGGTATTGAAGTCCCTCTGACACTTCAAATATCTCTCACGTCTCCTTCTATCACAATTCTCTGCCTTTCTCTTCTGACTTTTAGGAGGTCGTGTGATTACATTGGATTTGCCCAGATAACCCAGGACTTATTTTGAAGTTAGCTGGTCAGTAAACTTAATTTCACCTGCAAAGTCCCTTTTGCCATCTAACATAACATCATCACTGGCGTGACCTCAGAGAACAGAGATCATGGGGACCAGAATTTGCATATATATGTGTATATAAATTTTTATCTTTTTCTATTCCTCTACCATGGAATAAAACATATGTTATGTGAACATGACTGCTATTGTAGATAATCTTATATGTCAATACTTAAGTTGGAGGAATAGACATCACCTACTGGTGATAAAGGAACTTTGTATCTGCTTTTAGGGATATCGTTGGTGTGTGTTTTATGACGGATAATAGCATCATGTTAGAAAAGGTTAGAGTGGTTGCTAGAGATGTGTATGGATACCAGGTTAACAATGAGTGAACTGTGATGCTATACTAACTGGGTCAATTTAGCTAAATGGAAACTACGTTTGTCAGAATTCCATTTCCTATACAAGACTGGGTTAGGATTGGTCATGAGAGAAACTTGCATAAGATTTGGAAGGGGGAAGTTAATCAGTAGTCATTTCTTTTATACTCTGAAGATGAGTGATGGGCCCCCAGCACTATGATAGGCTTCATGCTGTCAGAATCTGATAATTCACTTAAGTTGGCATGGAGCAGCACCTTTCCTTTCTAGAATTTTTAATTGGTCCCCTTTTGTAATAGCTCTCTGCTGAGATTTTTAATATTGTCCCAGTCTGAATAATTAAGGATAGTTATTTAGAAATGTGTGTCTGATACCTCCATTATCTATAATTGCTGAAGTTCTTTTTATGTTATCTACTGCTGCTTTTGGCATTCACTAACGTGGTCTAATTATTTTTGCTAGAGTGCCACATATTGTATATAAGGCACTGTGTAACTTATTTGGGACTTTGAATTACATTATGTTACCTCAGAGGAGGGCTTCTGGCAGATAAAATCCTATTTACCTTAATCTAATTTCACACATTTAGATGATTCAAAGCTAAGATTCATTCCCCTTTCCACCTAATCAGTCTATTTCCAGTTTCTATTTACTCCTAGGATGTAGCCCTGGAAGGTCCCAAATCAGTGTGTGTGGTGTTTACCAGATTACCATCTCTCCTTTTTGTCCTCTTAGCTCTGTGACGTTTACAAAAGCTTACTATATCTTAGTCAATTCGTCTAAAGAAAAATCATCCCAAATGCCATCTTGTCTCTGGGTTTCCTTCCTTATTTGGTTCTTGGCTTCATAGTTCTTCACTGCGTGGTAGATGTGTGATGCCTTCATTTGGATTTTTAAAAACATTTTGTCCAACTTTTCTAGTTGTTCCCCTTAGCTAGAGAGAGCAGAATTTTTTATAGAGTAACTGTAACTTCCCTTTTTTTCTCTTGTGTGTGTTGTGAAGTTAGACTTGTCTCTCCGTTCCTTGCTGTGTGAAGGTTCCTAATGCCTTACCACAAGTGTCTTTTTTTCTCATCTAGAGTTACTGTTAGCTGACAGTTGGTGATGCTGATATAAAGCATTGTGCTATATATTGAGGAAAGATACAAGAAAGCTGCATCTTATAGCTGTGAGAGAGCAGGGAAAGGGTCCTGGAAGGTTTCTTTAAACATTAGAGCAGAAAATAATGGATTTCGGATGAGTGGCTTGTGTTAACTAGGCTTCTTCACTGTCTTGGTCGAATGAGAAGGTCTGCATCCAGAAAGGGGGTGTGCTTATTCTGCAAAAGAGATAAAACACAATTGTCCAGAAATAAAACTACTTAAAAATACTAAGTCAAAATACACCTAAATTGGACACATCCATGAAGAGTGAACCTACTGCATAGCAATCAGCATTATATATTACCAGTTTAAAGAAGTGATGGGCAAGACAGGAGACTTCCTTTTCCATTTCCACTGATGTTCAGGCAGTCACAAAAGCAAACTCCTTCTCACTGTTGTCACTCCTTTTTGTCATACCACCACCACCAAAGAGTACAGATGACTGGGACAGGAAGAAGTAGATGAAGAAGAGAGAGAGAAAAAGCCAGATCATAGTTCTTTTGCCTGAAGTTCATAGCAGGTGGTGAGAACTTCACATGAGTTTGGTTAGAGGACTTTGAGGTAAACCAAACAAATAGTATTATTTACATGTGATTGGATAACCAAAAGAAAACTTTTTAGTTTGAAAGTGATTAAAATAAGCCAAGTGTAGTGGCTCACGCCTGTAATCCTAGCACTTGGAGAGACTGAGGCGAGAGGATTGCCTGAACCCAGAAGTTTGAGACCAGTCTGGGCACCTTGGCAAGATCTTGTCTGTACAATAAATCAGAAAAGTAGCTGGGCATGGTGGCACTGGCATGTAGTTCCAGCTACTTGGCAGGCTGAGGTGGAAGGATCACTGGAGCCTCTCAGGACAAGGCTGCAATAACCATGATCATGCCACTGCACTCCAGCCTGGGCAACAGAGTGAGAATCTGACTAAAAAATAATAATAATAAAAATAAATACATATAATTGTGACCAGTGAAATGATTAGGAAAAAATAGAGGTACTATTTGTTACTTGGAAAGCAAAGTCAGTATCACTACTTGGTTAAGCTGTTTGATTAATTCTTTGACTGCATCTAGAGTGCTGTTAAGGCTATATTTATTGTTTTTATTTTTAAAAATTTTCAGTATTTGATTGTTTTGATAACCACCTGTCCTTGTGCTAAAACATCCTATTCTTGTCATACCTGTGAGTTCTTCCTTTATTTCTTGAAAGATCTCAAATATATTTATTTTTGTGAATCTTTTTTGATTGTCCTATTATGTTTTTTGAGTGCAAGTTCTTCTATTTGTTGGCTTCACTGGGTTCATTTGTTGACATTACTTATGTTTTCTGATTCTTGATTGTAAACTCATCTTCTACACAGTATTCTTCCCAATGTCTTGACCTGGGATAACTCTTGCTAGTAAGGCTGCTTGCCTGTTTCTTTCTTGTTGGTGTATCTAACAGCCTTTGTCCAAGAAGAATCTCCTTTCTTATTTTTAATGTAGTTATTGTTCACTAACCTATACTGTACATCTTTAATATATTATTACATCTTTAATATAATTTCTCAGCTGGGCACAGTGGCTTACTCCTATAATCACAACACTTTGGGAGGCTGAAGCAGGAGGACTGCTTGAGTACAGGAGTTTAAGATTAACCTGGACAACATAGTAAAACCTGTCTCTGTAATTAATAATAATAATTATTTTTAAATAACCTAATGTAGTGGTGTGTGCCTTTAGTCCCTACTACTTGGAAGACTGAGGTGGGAGGATTGCTTGAGCCCAGGAGTTGGAAGCTTCAGTGAGCTAGGATCATGCCACTGCACTCCAGTTTGGGTAAAAGAGCGAGACCCTGTCTCGTGTGTGTGTGTGTGTGTGTGTGTGTGTGTGTGTGTGTGTGTGTGATTTATACAAATTTTGTGTGGAGATGAGGTAATTTCCATTTTCTTGAAATGAAAACTCTAATTTCTTTGGCCTATATTGCCTAGACCTAATCAAACATTGTCTCTCTTGATAAATCATTAGCTATTTTCTCTTTTACACTACTTTTAGGGACCGAGCAATAAGGACTTTTTAGAAAAGGCCCCAAGTCTCTCACACAGAATAGAACAATTAATATGGTGACTGTGATTGCACTTAAGTAAGAAGATACACATATATGCACATGGTCAAGGAACCTGCCAACATGGAAAGTATAAGTTTTGTTAAGGTGATGAATCTATGGAGTGATTTTTTTCTCTTCTGATATTCTAAAATTTCTGTATTATATTGCTTTTTAAAGAGGACATAATTTTTAAATAGATATTCTAAATAACCTAAAAATCCTACTGCTTATGCAGACTCCCACTAATGTACCCAATTGCCTAAAGGACTCAAAATTTAAACTCCACAAGTAAATACTCCCGAAAGCTACTGTTCATCTCCCTCCGTTTTCTTATGCTATATCTAGTCTGGTTTTTCCCCCAACCTTTACATGGATGTTACTGATTTTTGCTGTATATTAAGGATGGAAACACATTTTTTTCAGGGCCACTTTTCTAGGAACAGGATACTGGTTCTTCTGGTCCGTTTTTATTCTGAGTTTAGCTGGGACCCTGACTGTCTACTCTGCATTGCTGTTGGTGAGTAATGCTTCCCATTTCTCCCCCTCACTTCTTGAGTAGCCTCATGAGGTGCTTCTGCCTGTGGTTGAAGCAGTTTTCTGTGGGTATTGGGAACCCTGAGAGCCTAAGATTACTCTTGTCTTAGTAGAGTTGGGGTTTATATTAGCTACTTGAATTTCAGGCACAAGAGATGGGTGTAGGGGGAAGATCTGTGGTATTAGAGGATGTGCCTTGCCAATTTTGTGCTTTCAAAGTATGTCAAAACATCCTTTTTCTATGCCCCCATTTCATAGCCTGTCCTGTACTCACTCAGTATTGTCATTTTATACATTCACAGCTTCACATCTGCAGTATCTTTAGTCCTTTCAAGTCTCATCATATGAGAATCAGTCTTTCTGGGCCTTATGAATTAGCTAGCTTGCTAAACTTGTCCTAATGTACAGATACTAGTCACCTAGCCCAGGTACAGAATACATTTTAGCAAAAACCTTTTGACAACAGTATGATCCTGCCTCTGTTGCCTGACATGGTGTGAGAAATTTACATCAGGCAAGAGGAAGGTCTGTGGAAATGGAAAGCTTAATGGGAGGATAACTTTAGGCAATTAGACTTTTTCAAAGGACAAATAGCCTTCTGTGATGTCACCATTCCTTTCTGTATTGATTTCCTGTCTGATACAGGGGAACCCAACCCCCAAATCTATTTCCATTTGCATTAACTTTTTCGTATTAATCATTATATGAGCAGAACATTGTGATAAATGCTGACTATTCAGAAATCAGTAAAATATTAGCAGTTTCTGTTTGCATGCAGGGCACGTCATAGAGATAGATATAAAGTTACAACTGTTCCTTCAGTGTTTAGAATCTAGGAGGGCAACTAAAAAAATAATTAACAAAAAAATAATTAACATAGTATTATAATTGTGCAAAAAAATAATTAACATAGTATTATAATTGTCAATAGAAAGGTCTAAATAAAGTTTTGCAGGGATTCTGAGAAGGAAGAGGACTTCCAGCCAAGAAGATTCAATAAGGCTTCTTAGAAGTGATAGCATTGGAGTGGGATCTTGAAGGATGTTGGATTTGGAGATATGAATATGAGAATGGGGAAGAACATTCTGGACTGAGAGCACCATGACAAAGTCAGCAAAACAGAAAAATATGAGATGTCTTGCTGAAAGGAAAATATTAGTTCTGTTAGTATATGGGCATAACAGAAAATAATGGGAAAACATGACTGAAAAGAAGGTAGATTTGTGACAAATTTTGGAAGGCCTAGAAAGAAAGACTGAGACATTTGGCATAAACCAGTTTTCTGTTTTAGAAAAATGATAAGCATTCTTTTGTTTTGGTATGAAGAATGACTATGAACAGAGAGACCAATTAGAAACTTTTCTTTTTAATGGGGAAAGTGCAGATGAAGGATGTGCCCCAAGCCAAACTCTAACCACTGAGTTGTACCACTTTATACACAATAAATGTGTAATGGTATAGTAAGGTTCTAAGATGGGAATAAATTCTAGCAATATATTTTAACAAGCTTTCTACTCTACCCTACCTCTTTTTGGATACATATAATGGCAACAACAGTGAAAAGGAGGGACACCTGGACTTTATTTCTAGCTCTATCTTTCGGTTATTTTATAACCTTGGTCAAGTCATGTAACTCTTCTGAGCCTCAGTTTCTTTTTCTTTCAAATGAAAATGATAATATTTAATAAAGTGATATTTTTGTAGGACTGAGTAAAAGAACAAATGAAATCATATACATGAAATTATTTTGATAAAAAGATATCAAACTATCATTAATATTCTAGGCATCTGAGAACCCCAGTTTTCAGTTTCCATCTCCACACTGATTTGGTGACTGGCCAGCTTTAGATTAAAATCCAAGACTTATTGAATGTAGTGGTTGACAGCTGTAACAACAACTTGTTCCCCCAAGAAATAACCCTTGGGAGGGTTGGCCCCTGACCTTTATTCTCTTAAAAGTTAGTCTAAGTAATGCCAAGAATAAGGTTTGTCACAGGGAAAGGAAATGAGCAGGAACTCGGGAAGGGTTGTCAGTGTGGTACTTGTTATGAAATCCTGGAGGAGATCAGTAAATTCTTCCTTGGGGTGATGGTAAGAGTTACAGATAGGAGGTGACATTTGAACTGGTTTTGAAGGATCAGTGGCATGGAGCAGGGAAACTTTTCAGACAGAGGAACAGCATGGCAAACTCCTAGAGGCTGAAAAGTACAAGTAGAGCAAAAAATGAGTGTAGTATCAGACTGTGAAAGGAATTTTAAGTTATAGAACAGTGCTTTAGACAACTTGGTAACTTCAAAATAACTCTCTTTTTCTTCTTTGCTTTTGCAGTTATTTGGATTTTTGTTGCTTTGGGAGGGGATTGAACTATACCTGCACTGGTGTCATAAGGTAGGACATCTAAGTCCTCACAGAAGACCTTAGACCAAGACCAGACATGCTACTTGGCACTCAGTGTTTCCTTGTCTTTCATTGTTCCCCCTGGGGAGGAGGAATTCTACTGCCACCATTTTAACTGAAGCCATTAAATTTCTAACAGTTGTAGTGGATTTACAGAAGGAGCTCAACCCAAACTTTATTTTTTCTCACCACTTCATGTTAAACTCACTCTGTGCCCCTGTTCTTCCCATCCCAATACAGTCTTAGACAAATTCCATTGCTTTCCCAGTCCTTTTTTAGTCAAAGAATATTCTCGTTTCAGTCATTAAAAATTTCTGATTATTGTAATAACCCAAACTCTATCTTTATTTTTATTTATTTTTTTGTTTTTCGGGTTTTTTTTGAGTTGGAGTTTCACTCTGTCGCCCAGACTGGAGTACAGTGGCCGCTCCCGGCCACCGCAGCCTTGACCTGCTGGGCTCCGGAGATCCTTCCGCCTCAGCCTTCCATGTAGCCAGAATTACAGGCGCACGCTACCACGCCCGACTAATTTTTTGATTTTATTGTAGAGATGAGGTCTCGCCTGCCCAGGCGGGTCTCGAACCCATGGGCTCAGGCAATCTACTCACCTCAGCCTTCCAAAGGCACGGGATTACAGGCTGAGCCACCGAGCCCGGCTACTCTATCTTTATTAACCTTAAAACTCTCCCCTTCCCCTATTTAGGCCTGATCTGGGCCTGGAAGCCTACAGTGGTGGAGGCTTTTGCCTCTCCTCCACCAGAATGGGGCCCAAGGGAAGAGAAGATGGAGAAAAGAGCACAGTCCCCCTAGGAGGGAGAAGAGGGGAATCTGGAGTTTTTTCCATCTGGACCAGATAAATGCACAGCTGCCCCTTTCCCCCATGGACTTTTTCCATGTATGTTTTCAGAGACGCTTCTGCTGAGTATCTTGACTGCAACCCTCTTGCTGGAGTCAATGCTTATCTTCCCGTAGCCCCCTGAAATTTTTTTTAATGTCTTTTTTGGTCCTTCCTTAGGTTCGTATACCTTTAAAATGACGCTGGCATGGTTTCTTTCAGAGGGTTCTTGTCTGGTCCCCACAGAACAATCAGCTCTGTCCCACTGTGGACATGCAGCATATTTCATTATAACATCCCTGTTTCATTCTGCCATGGGCTTGAGCAGCTCCAGGGACAGCCTCTTGCTTTTTTGTAGACTTTTAAACGAGTGTTTTAAAAAATTGATACATAGTAATCGTACATATTTGTGGTTTACATGTAGTATTTTGATACATGTGTAATTATCAAATCAGGTTATTTAGAGTATTCATCACCTCAGATATTTATCATTTCTTCATGTTGGGAACATTTGAACTCTTTTAGCAATTTTGAAAATAAACTGTTAACTGTAGTCACTGCTGTGCTACACTTAGCACACTGCTGTGATACACTTCTATCTAAGTGTATGACTGTACTCATGAACCACCTCTCTTCATCCCCCACCCCCATCCCAGCCTCTGGTGACCATCATTATATTCTTTGCCTCCATGAGATCAACATTTTTAGCTCCCATATATGAATGAGAACATAAGGTATAGTTTTGATACCATCCCTTGTGTTTTCCCCAAATCCAGAAACATGTCAAACTCTGAGTGGCCCCCTTAAATCTCCTCTTACTTAAATGAGACATACGAACTGGAAATAGAAATATAAGAGTTATTAGTATTGATGGAACTTGAAGCCATGAGACCTAGGGAAAGAACGTAGATTGAAAAGTGAACAAAGAGGCCATATTGATATTAGCATCTACTGTGGAGTTGGGACACCATGATCCAGTAATCATTACCAAGAATCCCTATGAGTTAAACCATTTGATTGCCATGTTAGCCTTGTATCTGTTGCAAAAACTATGCTAACATTGCCTGTGCCAGTAAGTACTGCAAATGGCTTCTGCCACAGCAGGATTACATCATACCCCTTTGAAATCAGGAAGTCTGTTTCAGTGACAGCATCTCTCACATTTATTTAGGCACAGAGGGCTCCAATCATGCTTTTCAAGGATACTGACACTTTTCTCACCAGTGTATTTTTCAGTGTTCTTTGAGACTTCCCAGAGAACATGATAGAGAGCAGGTTAGCTGATCATAGGTGATACATTTCTGCACCTTTTCTCAGTAAATCTTTTATTATTCTATATTGCACCAAGAAATTGTTGGCATTCAGATTTCTTTGAGCATAGGTTACTATAGAGCCAAGGTTCCAGATAACCAAACAAACAATTAGAACCTCTTTGAGCTGCTTAATACCTGGATTCTGGGTGATTAAATCCAGAATCTGTGGTAAGTGCAAACATATCAATAAATTGAGCCTGATCAAAAATTATGTTTTCTTTTTCTTGTCTAGCACTCTTAAAATTCATTCCCACACATATTCTGTAGGATTTTTGCCAATATTAGCTATCAAAACCTTCTAAGCCTTCATTTTCTGAGGCATTCTGGGCTCCAATTCCAGTTATGAATTGTAAGGCAGTGAGAATGATGGAGGGGGATTATGAGAAGAGTTGGCATTCCCTTGGAAGTTAACTACCTTGGTTGGGTCTTCAGGCCTTCAAACCAGGAAGAACCAGGTTTAGCAGACTTGGGAGGACTTTATTGGCAAGGGAGATACTGTGGGGCTTAAATATTTAGTTTTATTGTACTCAGAATAGGCCCAGGAAGAAAAGGGTTAGCCTCCCAGACCTATAATTCCTGCCCCTTCTACCCAGAAAGAAATTAATGACCTCAACCAAAACTCCTTGTAAACATGCTAATACCCTGACCTCCTGGTAAACACTCTAAAGGTATTTATTAGCCAAAAGATAATGGAGGGCCCTTATCTGCAGAAATTTCTAGTAGGATGTACCTGACATATCTAGGTTGCTCTTATTGTAATAAAGCTGGGATATTTGATTTGTGCAGTGGGAGACATGACTAACTAAGGTTATACAGTTAATGGAGTATAAGATACTGATGCTCCATAACCAAACTGACTCCTGTGAAGCAACATTTCTACATAGATCTCAAAACATATTTCACATTTTAAGTCCAAAAGCAGAATGTATATTCATTAATACAGGAGAGGAAAGACCTTCTATGAGCAGGTTCATTTGACATCATATTTCTCCATTGGAAAATCTTTTATCTATTCCATGATTCACTGTATTCTTTAAGTCATTAGTAAAGTTTGGTGTTGGGTAAGATCTGTGATTCATATGAGTCTGATTTGACAATATAACCTTTGTGCTATGATACAGTTAGTTTGTTAATATGTTGTTTAAGATTTTTGCATTTATGTATATAAGAGAAATTGCCCTGTACTTTTCTGTTCTTACAATGTCCTTGTAGAATTGGGGTATCAATGTTTTGCTGGCTTCGTCAGATAAGTTAGAAAATGTTCTTTCTCTTGTTATATTCCCTGAGTTTGTTAAAGATAGGAGATATTTCTTCCTTAAATATTTGGTACAATTTAATATTGAAGTCAGCAAGGAGTTATTTTGTGAAAGGTTAGTTATGGATCCAAGTACTTTAGATATAGAGATTATAGAAAGGCAGGCATGAAACACTGTCTAGAGGGCAACAAAGATGTAGAAAAACTATACATTTGAAAGGGATGAAGTTAATAAAGTTATGTCTTCTTGGTCTTAATGTTCTTTCTATATGAACTAGTATTCTGGCAGGCAGATTTTTAAAATCTGTTTAATAAATATTTATTGAATGCTTACTATGTGCCTGACATTCTGAAAGGCAACAAGGATATAATCATAAACAATACTAATATTATCCTTGACCTTGGGAGGCTTATTATCTATTGGGAAAGACAGATATAAAAGAGGCAATTACAAAATATTATTTACTTGTAATTGTACTGAGTATACAATCGAGGCATAAAGAAGTGGTAAAGATTTGTAATGGCCATTGTTAAAATGAGTGAAAAATACCAAGCAATGTTGAGGACCCAGTTGAGGCTAGAGGTGATAAATTAGTAATAGAATCAGATCACACAGTGGTATAATATTTTTCAGCCATATTGCACAGCAAGGACTTAGGAGCAAGGAATTTGAGTGATCGAATCCATCCAATATTGGGAATTTGAGGATGGTTACAGAGGATAACAAAGGAGATAAAGTCCCTAACATTGTGAAGACACATATAATTCCTAAGGACAGTTCTGATCCAAGTCTAGTGTTTAAAGTCAAGATATTTTTTTCTGTTTCCCTAGATCCTGATTCTGCTGGTGATTCTGCTGTGCTCCATTTTTTTGTTCATTTTATGTAAATTCTGGAAAGAAAGGTGGCTGGTAGCTGGGCTGTCACTGCAGGTAAGCATCATCCTGTAGTTCTAGCACTGTTCAGATGTGTCTAGCCTGACTTTTGGCTTTCTTCCAGATCTTTGCTCCGTACGTGCACCTGAGCTGCATAACTGTGATGGTTAGTCTTTCCTGGCCTGTGACCTTCTACGTGATCCAGTTGGAAAGAGAAAGTATGTCATATGGAATGGAACCCTGCCTGTTCCCTTTAGCTCTGGCTTTAGCTTGAATACTCCACTCAGGAAAGCAGAAGCTTAGGAGCTAGCTGCCCAGTACCTCTTTGAAATTCGTTTAGGTTGTTACTTTGGCATGATCCTGTACTCTCAGTACTCTGTGTGGCCTGTCACAATATTTTCATGAGCAAACAGACCTTCTTCCAAAGAGGGATTCTTCTTTTGGAAAAAAAAGATTTCTTCCTCTGTTATTACACATTGACTCTCTGGGGATGGTTGGGCTTGAGCAGTAGAGACCATTTTAATTTTATTTGACCAGAGTGCCAGTACCAGTCAGTTTTTTCTTTTGTATTCAAATATTAGTAGTTTAAATTTATCTCAGCTAGGTCCAAAGGTTCTTGGTTATGTCCAAGTAACTTAAAGCAGTCCCCTGTGAGTCTATGTCATACCTGGGAACTTACAGCAGAAACATAACTCTGTCTCTGCCACTGGTATCCTCTCCATTCTTTGCCCTAATATAAGGGAGTCAAAAGAGAATTGGATCTGGACACCAAACTGTTTTAAGAATGGAATTATCTCTCACCACCGTTACTTAGAAATCAATAGGACTTTCTTCTCTCTAGGTCTCCTTTTTGGCTCTTTGTTAAATAAGGAGTATTGGCTTTCTGACGTGGGGGCGGGGATGCAGGCAATTCAGAAAGACTGAATTGATGGTGGTCTAACTGTGTGTTTGTGTGTGGAGGGTAAACTTTAGGAAAGATTTCTTGGGCAGGAGTGTAAAGGGATAATAATGACCTCTTTTCTTTTTACTTTCTAAATTTTAGTTAGAAGGAGAAGATACAGGATGAAACATTCCGAGAAAAAAAGACTCAAGAAATGTAATATACTTACAAAGTTAAGAGGTTAGAGCTGGAGATCTAGATTTAAAAGTCACTGAAGCATAGATGATAACTTAAGAATGTATAAATGAGTAAAATCCTCAGTGGTCTAAAATAGTAAGTGTTGGGAAATGGCTGACCATAACAGGTTTTGTGGACAGACTCTGTATATGTGTGTGTGTGTGTGTGTGTGTGTGTGTGTGTGTGTGTGTGTGTGTGTGTGGCGGGTGGGGAGGGGGTGAGTGGAGGAGAGACAGGGAGAGAGGGAGGCAAATTATTAATATTTGTTGAGTATTATGAGTCAACACTCATAACAACCCTGTGAGGTTGATGTTAGCAGCAAGACAGCCCCATATTACAGAAGAGAATCAAGATCCAGAGAAGTTAAGTAACATGCCCTAAGTCATATAGTCAGGGAGTGGCAGAGTCTGGTTTTGAATACAGATTCCTGTCAATTAGTGCTCCTTCCACCCTACTTTCCTTCCCTAAATGTACAGGTGTTTCAGGATGAGCTTTACAGGTGTTGGGGCTTGCTTATAATGAGCCAAGCTCTTCTCCTCCTGAGAAGCTGCTCCTTAATATTCTTTCTCCTTCTTTCCCTTCCAACCCCCTGCACAATTCATTCCTCTGTCAATTTCCAGCTTCAGTAAGATTGCTTTAATAATACTGCCTTATATTTACACAATCTTGTACTTTTAAATCCAAATCCCTGAAACTAAGTGGGAATGCCACAGAAATAGAAAGTAAATTAACTTGTCTGGGCACACCTGTAATCCCAGCACTTTGGGAGGCTGAAGCTGGAAGAATTGCTTGAGCCCAGGAGTTTCAGACCAGTCTAGGCAACATAGTGAGACCTCATTCTCTACTAGAAATCAAAAAATTAACCAGCGTGATGGCATGCACCTGTAGTCTCAACAACTCAGAAAACTGAGGTGGGAGGATTTCTTGAGCCCAGGAGTTTGAGGCTGTGGTGAGCTATTATTGTGTCACAACAGCCTGGGCAACCACCAATTCCAAAAAAAAAAAGTAAATTAGTCAGTTCAGAGTCAGTGCAAACCACTGATCGGGGATTCATTCAGACTGCTGCTTTGGGATAGTTAGTTACTTGGGATGATTTTCCATTCCTCTTTTTGTTCCCCACTTTCCCCTCTTTCCAACTTTTTCAGGTCTACAAGTGGCTGTTGGATTGCCCTTTCTTCTTATCCTTTTATGTTTCCTTTTGATGCCACTGGGGATTTACTCTCCCTGCATTCAGGAGGAGGAGGATTTGGGACCCAAGCCAGTCTTCATTGGGCATAGAGGTGCACCCATGGTAGGTCTGAGCATGATGAACATGGGTGAGTACAGGTATACACAGGGTATGTGGATGAGAGAAGGGAGCCTCAGAATCATAGGAGCTCCTGGAAAGGAAAAATGATTGCCTTGAGATGGCAGGAATAAGGAGCTAATTGTAGGGAATGGACTTGAATCCAGGTCACCTAAATCTTAGTCTGTTTCTCTTTACTGTGCCCAGTGACATTGCCTCAAATAAGTAGAGTCCCAGAATCAGGTTGGATAGAGGAATATACAGGCAGTCTTTTTGGAAAGAGAGCCGAGGGATCCCAAGTCCTACTGGGCTCCATCCAACCCTAAAAGGAATGTTGGGAGGAAAGACTCTGAGACTTGGGGCCTCATGTCATTTTCTTTCACAGTCAGGGCCTGAGAATACCATGATGTCCTTTGAGAAAGCTGTTGAACAAGGAGCCTATGCATTGGAGAGTGACGTACATTTCAGGTAGGAAAGCAGGGACTAGGGTTGAGGGCCAAAAGAGAATCATTTCAGTGTCATGAAAGAGAACTAGCCTGGCCCAAGGTGTACAGAGGGCAAGCCCTAGAGAGTTTCTCCTATGCTTATATGGTACATATGTACATACTGCATAGGTGAGTCCCATCTCCCTTATAAACTGTACCTCTGTACCACCATACTGTCAATGACAGCAGTGTGACACAATGTGTCACAAATCATACTCTGTGTAGTTTCCACATATAATTTAAATTTATCCCTATTGCAAACTATGCTTACAACTTAATCCTATATACTACCTTAGCAATTTAATTAACATTCCCTGGATATCTACTATATTCCAGGCTTTTTTTCTGAATGCTGGGGATATGTAAATGAGTAAGATATAGATATAGTCATGCCTAAAAGATGTTCCTAACTCTTGAAGGAGACATAGCATGTTTACAGATAACCACAGAATGAGGCCATTTGTGGTGAGAGTCTTCCAGAGAAGAATAAGTTAAGTGTAATGGAATCCTAGTAGAGGAAAAGGCCACCTCCTATTGCGTGAAAAAGAGAAAAAAATCTATATGCTCAAAATTGTTTTTGGGTTGAGCCTTGTAGGAAAAATATTATTTTAACAAGTAGAGATGGGGAAAGGAGAGTATTCCATGTAGAGGCAGCTGCTTATTCAAAGACATTTAAATGTGAAATAACAAGTTTGTAGATCAATGAGCTAACTTATAGGAATCCCAAAAGTGATATGCCTTGGAGTCAGGAGACAGCTATATGAAAAGGGGGTATGACTGTAAGTCTGACAGAGGCTGGATCATGGACACTCCTAAAGGTGAAATGGGTGTCCATGGTAGGTTTTAAAGGACAGATCCTAAAGATGTGTCTGGCAGTCTATGAGGAAGATTTGTTAGGGAGATGGATAGCAGACTGTAGCAATGGTCCAAGGGAAAACAAAAGAAGGCTTAGATTAGAACTGGGACAGGGACAAAAAGACAGGTTTTACTTTAGAATCTATGTACCTGGACAGCTGAGAAGTAGAAAAGGCTTATCTTCATCTCTAGCATGGCCATATTAGTGTACGTGAAGTGCACAGAGTCCCTTCACAATCATTCTTGAAGGCAAACAGAAGGGAAATGAACATTCTCTTTCACAGAACAGGAAACTACAGTTTGAACTTCAGTTCAAAGAAGGGAAATGTACTGCTCAGGTCACAATGCTAAAATGTACATGATAAAATCAGAATTATAACAAGATTTCCTGACTCCAGATTAGGATTCTTGACATTATCCACCAATGGCAGCCATTCCACAAGAAATATTTTGAATCGGTATTGAAACTGGTTGTTCTATCAGAGCTCATAGGGTCATTGATATCAGTGCTTGTGGTCATGGACATACTGTGCTAAAGATGCTGAGCCAATGAACTCCTGACACATTGCCTTTTCTCTTCTCTTCTGTGACTTCAACTTTGATTTAGATGATCCTTCAAGTGCTTTAATTGATGTCTTTATTTCCAATGATATTCTCCTCCACCCGCTTCCATCAAATTCATGGCCATACCCAAAGCTTCATTATTACCCAAAACTGTACCTCAGTCATCATCCACGAAAACAAATTCTAAACAGGAAAAAATGTAATACCAAGAACTACTGGCCAGGTGCAGTGGCTTATGCCTGGGCAGCTTGGCGAAACCTCATCTCTACAATTAATCAAAAACTAGCCAGGCATGGTGGTGCATGCTTGTAGTGCCAACCACTTGGAAGGCTGAGGCAGAAGGATTGCCTGAGCCCAGCAGGTTGAGGCTGCGGTGGCCATGAGCATACCACTGCACTCCAGCCTGGGCGACAGAGTGAGACTCCGACTCAAAAAAAACAAGAAACAAAAACTACTACTAAGCAATAAGATATTGTTAATTAATGAAGGAGGCACAAAATAGGACCCTAAGGAGTGTAAGAGTGGCAAGCGCAACTATTGGAACTTCTGGTCCCAGACAAGCGGAGTAAGCATTATTCTACCCTGTTCTCTGCAAGAGTTAAAAAAGGCAAAATTTATAAAACAACTGACAGAAGACTGAAAGGTAGAGAAAAGAAGGTAGACTAGGCTAGGATTCATATTTCTCAAGGAACAACCCAGTAGGAAGTTCCCTGTTTTTTGTTTTGTCCTGTTTTTTTCTTCCTATACAAGTATATCCTGACCTGGGCTCTGGAAAGGCTGAAACCCAAAATACCTATAGGTGCAGACAGAAAAAAAACAACAACAAAATTCCTGGACTCATCTGCTCTCTCTAGCCAAAAGATTGGGAAAAGGGTAGCCCAGCAGGATATAAACATACTGCCCTACTCAGTGAACACCACACAAAAAGCCTCTTCTTACACCTGAGGCTATAGCTTGGAGAGATGGGCAGAATCCTGTCTTCCATTCCTTCTGTGAAATAAGAGGTGGTAGTAGTTGTTCTTTTTGAGAAACTTGTCTATGGCAGGTCTTTCTGCCATGAGTCTTACTTTTTCCATCTCTTCTCACTAATAAACTTTGTTTTAAAACTTAAAAAAAGAAAGAAAGAAAGAAGAGGTGGTACTTCTCTTTTCCTTCTGCAACTAGATAATGAAGGGAGGATTACTGAGAGAAGCTATCTATAGAAAGTGGTTTTTTTTTATTGTGATAAATAGATTTAACATACAATTTAGCATTTTAACCTTTTTTAGGTATATACTTCAGTGGCACTAAGTATTTTTACAATATTTTGCTTCCATTGCCAACATCCATTTCCAGAGCTTTTACTTCTCAAACTGAAACTCTGTACTCATTAGATAATAACTACTTGATCTCCTTTACCCCCAGGCCCTAACAGCAACCATTTTATTTTCTGTCTCTATGAATTTGACACTCTAGGTGCATTGCATATGAGTGAAATCATTGTCCTTTTATGCCTACCTCATTTCACTTAGCATAATGTCTTCAGGGTTCATCCATTTTATAACATGTATCAGAATTTCTTCCTGTTTCCTTTTTCCTTTTTTATTATTGAAAAGCATGTTACATAAAATTTATCATCTTAACCATTTTTGATTGTACAGTTAAGTGGTGTTATGTATATTCACATGTTGTGCAACAGATCTCCAGAAGTTTTTCATATTCTGAAACTTTGTACTCATTAGACAAGTCCCATTCCTTGCCCCCTCATCCCTTGAGAAACTGTTTCTATGCATTTGACTACTTTAGATGCCTCTTAAAATTGGAATCATAACATTTGTTTTTGTGTGTGTGTGACTGACTTTTTCACTCAGCACAATGTACTTAAGGTTCATCCATGTTGTAGCATGTGATAGGATTTCCTTTCCTTTTCAGGCTGAATAATATTCTATTGTATGCATATAGCACATGTGTGTCCAGTCATCTGTTGATAGACATTTGGGCTGCTACCACCTCTTAGCTATTTTGAATAGTGCTGCTATGAATATCTTTGCAAAAATCTCATTGAAACTCTGCCTTTTATTCTTTTGGATATATACCCAGATTTGAAAATGCAGGATTATATGGTAATTCTAGTTTTCCTTTTTTTAGGAACCTCCATACATACAGTTTTCTTTCTTTTTTTTTTTTTTTGAGTTGGAGTCTCACTCTGTCGCCCAGACCGGAGGGCAGTGGCCGCTCCCAGCCACCGCAGCCTCAACCTGCTGGGCTCCGGTAATTCTTCTGCCTCAGCCTTCCAAGTAGCTGGAACTACAGGTGTGCACTACCGCGCCTGGCTGATTTTTGATTTATTGTAGAGATGAAGTTTTGCCAAGTTGCCCAGGCGGGTCTCGAACCCGCGGGCTCAGGCAATCCACTCACCTCGGCCTCCCAAAGCGCTGGGACTACAGGCTGAACCACTGAGCCCGGCCTACATACAGTTTTCTATAGAAGTTGCACCATTTTACATTCCCACCAACAGTGCACAGGGTTCTCCTTTCTCCATATCCTCACCACGTGTTATTTTCTTTCTTTTTCCTTTTTTTTTTTTGGAGTTACAGTCTTCTCACTCTGTCACCCAGGCTGGAGTGCAGTGGCACACTCACAACCGCCGCAGCCTCGATTTGCCAGGTTCAGGCTATCCTTCTGCATCAGCTTTCCAAGTAGCTGAAACTACAGGCACATGCCACCATGCCCAGCTAATTTTTAAAAATTTATTGTAGAGATGAGGTTTCGCCAAGTTTCCCAGGCTAGTCTTGAAGCCCTGGGCTCAGGCAATCCTCTTACCTCAGCCTCCCAAAGTGCTGGGATTATAGGCATGAGCCCCCATGCCTGGCTTTTTTTTTTTTTAAAGAAGCCATTCTACTAGGTGTGAAATAGTTTCTCATTATAGTTTTGAGTTGCATTTCTCTTATTAGTGATGTTGAACATCTTTTCGTGTTTGTTGGCCATTGATGTGTTCTTTTGAGAAATGTCTACTCAAGTCTTTTGCCCATTTTAAAATCAAGTATTTGATTTTTTGTTATCGCTGAGTTGTAATTATGTTCTAGATATTAAACGCTTATCAAATATATGACTTACAAACATTTTCTCCCATAGGCTGTCTTTTTTACTCTATTGTGTTCTTTGATACACAAAAGTTTTTAAGTTCAATGTAGTCCCATTTGTCTATTTTTGTTTTTGTTGCCTCTGCCACAAAATAATTGTCAAGTTCAAAGTCGTGAAGTCCCTATGTTTTATTCTAGGAGTTTTAAAGTTTTGTGTATGATGTTAGGTAAGGGCCATCTGTATTCTTTTGTATATAGATGTCCTGTTTTTTCAGCATTATTTCTTACCCTCATTGATTAGTTTTAGTACCCCTGTTAAGTTCATTTGGCCATATGCACAAAGATTTATTTCTAGTCTTTCTATTCTATCGGTCTATTTATTGTTTTTATGTTGGTACCAGATTGCTTTTTTGTTTTAATTTTTTTATTTTAAAGATGTGGGGTACAGTTCAGGGTTAGGTATACAAATGTTAATAATGCAGGTACCCTTGTTGATGAGGTG